GAATTAGCGATTTTTGATTTTTTAGTTCGACTTGTCTGTCTGTCTTTAACTTTTAAACCGCTACTTGTTTTCGTGCCTTTTTTGTGTACATATTATTAACGTACACATGTTTTAGTGGCGCTAGTGAGTGGTGGTAGACTAAGGTCATGTCCTCGTTTAGGGCGGGGGGCGAGGGATAAGGGTTGTAGCGGGGTTAAGGAAACCTCTAGACTGAGAATTGGGCCTTAGAACATAGGGACATTAACGGGAAAGTCTATAGAGTTGGTGAAGATTCTCAAGAAGAGGAAGATCAATATAACTTGTGTCCAGGAAACCAAATGTGTAGGAACTAAGGCACGGGATGTGAACGAGTTTAAATTATGGTACTTAGGAGGCTCGAGGAATAGTAATGGAGTAGGCATTTTAGTTGATGAGGAACTCAAGGAGCAGGTGGTAGAAGTTAGGAGGGTAAACGATAGGATAATGGCGATTAAGATAGTCGTTGGGGGTTTACTTTGAGCATTATTAGTGCATATGCACCCCAAGTGGGTTTGGAAGAGGAGGTGAAAAAATGTTTTGGGGAAGATTTGGACGAGGTTGTGAGAGGCGTACCATTCACCGGGAAGCTATTCGTAGGAGGAGATTTTAATGGCCATATCGGAACAACTTCAGGAGGTTATAACGTGGTGCATGGAGGTTATGGCTATGGGATAGAAACAAAAGAGGAGTCTTCCTTTTGGATTTCGTGGAAACTCTTGAGATGGTGATAGCTAATTCAAGTTTCCCGAAGAAGGAGGAGCACTTAGTAACCTTCTGTAGTTCGGTGGCTAAGACCTAGATAGACTCCTTACTCTTTAGGAGGTGTGATAAAGTTCTTTGTAAGGATTGCAAAGTTTTACCGAGTGAGAATCTTACAACCCAATATAAGCTCTTGGTAATGAATTTACAAATTAAAAGGAAAAGGAAAAAGCGGGTTGTGTATGACAGGGTTAGGATCAAGTGGGGTAGTTTGACTACCGCCAATGCTTAGGACATGGGGGAGAAGTCGAGGGCAATGGGCGTGGGGGAGCAGTGGGGATGCAAACAGTATGTGGGATTGGACAACTAGTTGTATTAGGGAAGCAACTAGAAAAATGCTGGGGTCTCGAGGGGTAGCTTTAGTAGACACCAAGGGGATTGGTGGTGGAACGGAGAGGTACAAGGGGAAGTGGAAGCCAAGAAGGTTGCTTATGCGAAGTTAGTGGAAAGCAAGGAGAAGGAGAAAAAGGCAACACCAAGGGGATTGGTGGTGGAACGGAGAGGTACAAGGGGAAGTGGAAGCCAAGAAGGTTGCTTATGCGAAGTTAGTGGAAAGCAAGGAGAAGGAGAAAAAGGCAACACCAAGGGGATTGGTGGTGGAACGGAGAGGTACAAGGGGAAGTGGAAGCCAAGAAGGTTGCTTATGCGAAGTTAGTGGAAAGCAAGGAGAAGGAGAAAAAGGCAACACCAAGGGGATTGGTGGTGGAACGGAGAGGTACAAGGGGAAGTGGAAGCCAAGAAGGTTGCTTATGCGAAGTTAGTGGAAAGCAAGGAGAAGGAGAAAAAGGCAACACCAAGGGGATTGGTGGTGGAACGGAGAGGTACAAGGGGAAGTGGAAGCCAAGAAGGTTGCTTATGCGAAGTTAGTGGAAAGCAAGGAGAAGGAGAAAAAGGCAACACCAAGGGGATTGGTGGTGGAACGGAGAGGTACAAGGGGAAGTGGAAGCCAAGAAGGTTGCTTATGCGAAGTTAGTGGAAAGCAAGGAGAAGGAGAAAAAGGCAAATAGGGTGGAGTATAAGACGACGAAGAAGGAGGCAAAGTTAGCGGTTATGGTAGCAAAGATAACAGCATTTGAACGCCTGTATGTTGAACTTGAGAACAAATACGGGGATAAAAAGCTATACAGGTTAGCCAAGGCGAGAGAAAAGAGGACTCGGGACCTGGACCAAGTAAAGTGTATCAAGGACGAGGAAGACAAAGTATTAGTGGAAGAGGCACACATTAGAAGAAGATGGTAGACATACTTCCATAAACTCTACTTCCATAAACTCCTGAATGAAGAGGGGGACATGAGTATTGTGCTGGGCGATTTGGAGCACTCAGATTGTCGTCGTGATTTTGGGTATTTTTGGCGTATTAGGTTGAGGAGGTTGAGAGGGCTATGCGTATGATGCACATGGGAAGAGCGATTGGGTCAAACGAGATCCCAATGGAATTTTGGAAGAGCGCGGACATGACACGTTTGGAGTGCCTTATTGAGTTGTTTTATGTCATTTTTAGGACGGCAAATATGCCTGAGGAATAGAGGTGGAGTACAATGATTATGTTGTACAAGAATAAGGTTGATATCCAAATTGGAACAACTATATGGGTATCAAGCTGCTAAGTCACACCATGAAAGTTTGGGAGAGGGTGATGGAGATGAAAGTGAGGAGTATGTTAATTTTCGAGAACCAGTTCGATTTTATGCCGGGATGTTCGACTGTAGAAGTCATTCACCTTGTAAGAAGATTGGCGGAGCAGTATAAGGAGAGGAAAAAAAACTTACATATGATGTTCATTGACCTAGAAAAAGCATATGACAGTCCCAAAAGAGGTTTTGTGCAGATGTTTGGAGGCTAGAGGATGTACTTGTCGCATACATTAGGGCGATTAAGAACATGTACGTTGTAGCCAAGACCCGAGTAAGGACAGTGGGACGAGACTGGGACACTTTCCAGTCATGATGGGGTTGCACCAGGGATCAACTCTCAGCCCATTCCTATTTGCCTTGGTGATGGATGAGCTAACGCGATACATCCAAGGGGAGGTGTCATGGTGCATGCTATTTGCAGATGACGTAGTATTGATTGACGAGATGCGAGGCGAGGTTAATGATAGGCTAGTGATTTGGAGACGGACACGAGAGTCTAAAGATTTTCGGTTGAGCAGAACTAAAACAGAATATTTGGAGTGCAACTTCAGTGACGTGACGCATGAGGCTGACGTGGAAGTGAGGCTTGATACATAAGTCATCCCCAAGAGAGGAAGTTTAAAGTATCTTTGGTCTATAATCCAAGGTAATGGGGAGATTGATGCTGACGTCACACATCGTATTGGAGCGGGATGGATGAAATGGAGACTCGCATCCGGGGTCTTGTGTGATAAGAAGGTGCTATCAAGACTTAAAGGTAAGTTTTATAGAGTGGTGATTCGAAAACATATGCCACCAAGACTTAAAGGTAAGTTTAATAGAGTGGTGATTCCACTGACTATGTTGTATGCGACGGAGTATTGGCCAGTCAAGAACTCTCAGATCCAGAAGATGAAAGTATCGGAAATGAGGATGCTGAGGTGGATGTGTGAGCATACTAGGAGAGATATGATTAGGAATGTGGATATCTAGGACAAGGTGGGAGTGGCCTCTGTGAAGGACAAGATGCGGGAAGCGAGGTTGAGATGATTCAGGCATGTGAAGAGGAGATGCCCAGATGCCCAGTAAGGAGGTGTGAGAGGTTGGCAATGGTGGGTCTTAGGAGAGGCAGAGGTAGACCGAAGAAGTATTGGGGAGAAGTGGTTCAGTGTTTTGGATAGCGTGTGGCGACAAACAGCGACGAGGGCCCGCTTCACTGAGGCGAGAGGCACGCAGCGAAGCACTCGCCTTTTTGATGTGAAGCGACAATTTATACAAAAAAATAAAATATTATATATATAACTAAAAACTCAATAACAATAATATATTAATAAATATATCAATTCACAATATGCAATTAATTCTACTCTATAACTGAAAAAGGAGGAAATTTCAGGTTTGAAGTTAGAAATTCTCTGCCTCTGCCTCTGCAAAAACAGGGTGCAGTACTGCTGCTCAATCAAAAACAGAGCCCAAAAAAAGAAGAAGAGAAGATCAGAAGAAGAAGAAGAAAGACGAAAAAAAAAAAACAGAACATAAACATACTCTCTGTTCTGTTTTTTGCTGCACTGTTGCTCGACAAAAAACAGAGCAAAAAAAATAGAAAGAAGAAGAGAGGATCAGAAGAAGAAGAAAAACTAAAAAAAAACAGAGCAATAGACTCTCTGTTCTGCACTGTTGCTCGACAAAAAACAGAGCAAAAAAAAATAGAAAGAAGAAGAGAAGAAGAAGGAAAAGGAAGAAAGAAAGAAAGGAGAAAGAAGAAAGGAGAAAGAAGAAAGAAGTTTACTTGGGCTGGGTGGATTTGGCTGCTCTGTTGTTTGAAGGTTGAAGAAAAAAGAAACGTGAAATCACTGCAAGCCTCAATGTTTTAAGTCGCTGGTCTTTTTTATAAATATCTGTGCCTTTTTTTTTCTTTTTTTCAAAAAACGACGCCACAACTCGCCTCTCGCTACACAGCGCCTCTCGCTACACAGGCAGAGGCGCTCGCCTTTTACAATCGCAACGCAACAGAGCCAAAATAGCGCAGGCTGCTCGCATCGCCTCGCCTCACGCTATTAGTGCTGAGGCGAGCGCTATTTATAACACTGAGGTGGTTAGACAGGACACGACACATCTTCAGCTTACTGAGGACATGACCCTTGATAGGAGGATGTGGAGGTCGAAAATTAATGTAGTAGGTTCATAAGTAGTCGTGCGTTTCTCTTCTTCATACCGGTAGCATTAGTATTACCCCTTACTTTCTCAGTTCGTAGTTTTTCCATTATTATCTATCAGTTCTTTGCTTCAGTTATGCTATTTTTCTTGCTGTTGTTACTGCTTTGTTTGTCCTTTTAATGATTGCTGGGATTTTGCTTTCCTTGAGCCGAGGGTTTATCGGAAACAACCTCTCTACCTTCACAAAGGTAGGGGTAAGGCTGTGTACACATTGCTCTCCCTAGACCCCACTTGTGAGATTTCACTGTGTATATTGTTGTTGTTGTTGTCGTCAGAATATTATTTATCCTTTAAGTTTAAATTACCATGAAATCTTTCAGATTTGGCATCTGATCTTTCCTTACATGAATTTGTGTTATTACCAGGAGTTTGACCTTCGTTTCTGCTTCTCAGGTGTTTGATTGGATGCAGCAAAATCAGAAGATCAATGTTGCATCTTACAGCAGTTATGTAAAGCTAATGGGAAATAGCCTCAGTTCTGTTGAGGCTTTAGAAATGTACAAAAGCATCAAAGATCGGTCAACAAAGATTAATGTCTCAGTCTGTAATGCGCTTCTTAGTTGTCTAGTTAAGAACGGAAAATCTGAGAGCAGTCTCAAACTGTTTACTCAAATGAAGCGAGATGGTTTAGTACCAGATGTTGTCACATATAGCACGGTATGCTGCTTCAGATTGTAAATCCCACTCCTAGCAGTTAAGAGTCACCTAGTCGTGTTAAATAGGTTTTGATTGTTGAATCTTAGAATTGGCAATAAAAACATAGAACTGCGCAATGTGCTGCCTATTAAACTTGTTGATTACAAAAGCTACAATATAATTTGTTGTTAACCCCTTTTAAACTTTCATCTACCACGTTTTAGCTTCTTGCAGGCTGTGCCAAAGTAAAAGATGGATACTGTAAAGCACTAGAGCTGGTTCAGGAGCTGATGTCTAATGGACTGCTAATGGATAGTGTGACTTATGGGTCGCTTCTTTCGGTATGTGCTTCACATAAAGAGTGCAATGAAGCTGAAAAGTACTTTCAGAAGATGAAAGCTGAAGGCCAGTCTCCTAATGTCTACCACTGTAGCTCTTTGCTTAATGCTTATTCGGTTGATGGAAATTACGAGAAGGCTGAAGCATTGATTGAAGAAATGAGATCTGCAGGTTTAGTATTAAATAAGGTATGTCTCTATGCTCTCTTACCAGTGAAGGAAATAAACTATCAATATCTGCATCTTTGTTTTATTAGGTATGTTTAGTGGTTTCAAGATAGCAGATTAGAGAGCACCATTTGAGAAAAAACCGTAATGCTATTGTTACCTTTTTTTTGTGGTTTAGGATATGATTTGCCGGTTGTTTTTACCATTGCGGGTTTTTAAGTTCTTGCTTGTTGGATGGTGAGTTTGTGTTCATTTGTTGAGTTGGTTGGTTGTTTCTACCTACTGAGTTCCTTATAAATAATTGTTTGGTTTTAAATCTTTGTTCTTGAAGTTTTTTATGTATGAATTTTCTTTCTTGCAATTTGGGTTACAGTGGAGTTTACAAATTTTAGTAGGATCTATGTAACAGTGTCAGGGATAGAGTTGAGTGATTTCATTAATCCGATTTGGATGAGAATCCACTAATCTGGCATAGCTTTGAAAAAAAATGCTATTTATGGCGGCATTTGAAAATTAGTACTATTATATAAGGGACAGTTTCAAACATTCAGGAGCTTCCCGTCGTCCTCCTTGCCGACCTGGGGGACACGTTTTGTATTTTATGCGTTATCTGCTTTAACGCCACAGTGTATTTTAGGTGTTGTGGGTGTACTTTTACCGTTATGGACGAAAAATCCAGAAGATTTTTGTTTAATTTCGTCCCTATCCTCTGGAGATATACACAACTTTCTGAAAAATGGTCCCTCTTTAGTTTTCATTTGGCACCTTATTCAGCATCTCCAGCCTTTTCAGAGGCGCATTTAAGTGTCCTTGTGCGTACTGTACTAGCTCTTTTACATTTGCAATAATAGTAACGAGTACTATTTTATTTACCATGGAAAGATAGTAATAACGAATTAAGTAAGTCAAGGAGCTTTCAATTGTTTTCTGCTAGATAACTTAGAGTATAAATCAGGAAAGTTATACATGGAAATTTTTTGTAAAGCAAAGCTGAATTCAAGTTAGGCCTCAGATTGTAATATTATTATGCAAGTACTATATATAGAAATGTAGCATTTAGGACCATTCAATTTCTTCTTTTTCCCTTAATTAGCGTGAGTGAATCTAATTGTTCTACTTTGCTACTTGAAACTGAAGTAAACTACGGTCACCAAAATTTTAAAAGTAATTATTTTTACTTCATACATGATATTTTTTTATAGGTGTGAAGTGTGATAGCATATAGATGGGCTTGTTGACTTTTAACCGTTTTACTCTTTACCTAACACTGCCGTCAATGATTTTTCTCAATCAATTGCCTAAGGAGTAATAATTTGTGTTCCCGAGAACTTTTTTGGTGCGGTAATGACAAATGAAGCAAAAAGATCGAAAATTCTTTATACTCACTTTTTTACTCTTTTAGAATCACTAGTTTTAGTGTACGTGCATTGCACGTGTATTATGTGTCTATTAATAAAATAGTGTAAAAAAATAAAAAAAGAATGAATTATGCATAATAGCAAACTCTCTACTCCTTCGGGGTAGGGGTAAGGTCTGCGTACACATTACCCTCCCCAGACCCCACTTGTGGGATTTTACTGGGTTGTTGTTGTTATGCGTAATAGCAAAGATGCAGTGTTCATTTAAACGGAAAAAATTAATGTCACTACATTTACGCGCACAATAGTTGAATTCAAAGTAATTGATATCTTTTGAACTTGCAACAATAAAGATTTTAGGTAAGTTAGTTATATATTCTTTTATTAAAAATATCTTATTATATGAGATGTTGATATGTTGTATTGTTGTATCTGTCCTAATATCTCTATGTAGACGATGTTCTTGGTGTATTTCTTTCTATTATTTCAGTGGCTCTGCCTTGATGAAAACCCTTGTTGTTGCCATTGATATTCCCCTTGAAATTGCAACATATAGTTGTCCGTATGAAAAGTGTATTGCAGCAAGTACAGTTCAACATTAGTGATCATTTAACCCTGTACTTTATTTTATTGTCATCGAAAAGTATAATTATACCGAAAATGATTTTCTAATGAATTCAAAAGAGTATCCTTCATTTTCTGGAGGCGAAAGTTGAACTTTGGGAATAAACACATGCGTGGAAGCACTTTGGCCCATTATTATTTTTGCATGTATGAAATTGTTGTCAAAACCTCTACATATCATTCTTGTACTATTACATAACCCGTTTGAAGGATCCATACTTTTTAGTAACATGATTGATGTATTTTTTTCAAAATAAAAAAATTATTTTAAGTTAGATAAATTTACACACAGGCTGAACGTGTGTGTGTATATATATATAAGATCTTGCTAACCTTCCCCTTCTCCCTATCTTTCCTTCGGAACCCAGGGCTCAGAATGCTATGGGGCCTAAAACCTAAAGGTGTTTAACGGGCCGGTTTGACCCGGTTCCGGACCGGCCCAGACCGGTTATGGACCGGATCGGACCGGCCCGGTAGTAAGGGGCTGGGCAGGGTTGGGTTGGGACGGGGACCGGACTTTGCCGGGTAAATTTTTGGTACCGGTTAACCGGACTAGTACGACCCGTTATGGTCTAGTCATATGGGTATCGGTTAACCGGCCCGCCACGGACCGACACAGACCGGTTTGGCTGTTTAATTATTTTAACCATTTAAGCATCGACCACGCCATAATTACTATATTGTTTATATTATTATGTTTTTGTAAAATGATTTTAAACTCAATAGTCCTGTCCAAGAAGTAGTGTCTGTATTACTTAAATAATGTTCAAACTTTAGTAAGCTTAGCTTTTTTAAAGGTGCATGTCCCCATAAAGTCATAAAGATATGTCCAATCCAAGACAAAGCACGCTTATCTTTATATTTTAAGCTATTTTTTTCCTTGAAAGTGCAAAACACCTGCTAATTATGGTTACTGAATTAGAATCTCCCTAATTACAAGAGAATTAGAAAAACGTTTTTGAACACAGTGAGGAATCGCCGACTTCTTCAATCGCGTTGGAGTTGGTGGCAGGGTGGTGATAGGATTATTTTTTTCTTTTATATTTTTACTTTAGTTATACAAAATCTATATAAAAAAAAAAAATTTATACACAAAACTGGCCCGGCCCGGACCGATAGGCCCGGAACCGTTCCGGTTCCTTTTTTGACCGGATGGGGCCGGACCCGTTAAGCCCGGTTTGTCGAACCCGGAACCCAGCCCGGATTGGTGACCGACCGGTCACTTTTTTTCTCGACTCGGACCGGCCCGGCCCACCCGTTTGTCACCTTTACTAAAACCTAAAGTCCACAACTAAAAAATGCTTAGCATTTTTAGGTCCTTCCCCACAGCAAAAAAATCATCTTTTTCAAACAAACAGATAGTGGGTTTTCATCAAATTTTGGGTGCAAAGATAGAGTTTTGAAGATGGAGATAGATATGGTGGAGGAAGAGAAAAACATAATAAAGAAAGGTGTGAGAAAGCACGGGATAAAATATGTTATTGATATTGGATGATAAATACAATAGAAGAGGTCCCTATTTATAGCTATACACTACAAGGAGATATTACTCCTCTTCCAATGTGGGACAAGACTACGCTATACATAACTGTAAACTAACACTCCCCCTCAAGCCGGTGCATACACATCATATGTACCGAGCTTGTTAGACATGTAACTAATACGAGAACCAGTAACAGACTTAGTGAAAATATCTGCTAGTTGATCATTCGACTTTACAAACTTTGTAACAATATCTCCTGAAAGTATTTTTTCTCTGACAAAGTGACAGTCGATCTCAATGTGTTTAGTCCTCTCATGGAACACCGGATTTGACGCAATATGAAGAGCAGCTTGGTTATCACACACTAGTTCCATCTTGCTGATTTCTCCGAACTTTAACTCCTTGAGCAACTGCTTGACCCACACTAACTCACACGTCGCCATAGCCATGACCCAATATTCGGCTTCGGCGCTAGATCGAGCAACTACATTCTGTTTCTTGCTCTTCCACGAGACCAAATTACTTCCTACTAGAACACAATATCCAGACGTAGAACATCTATCAAAAGGTGATCTTGCCCAATAAGCATCTGTGTACCCAACAATCTGCTCGTGGCCTCGATCCTCGAATAGTAATCCTTTGCCTGGAGCTGACTTTATATACCGAAGAATGCGAACAACTGCATCCCAGTGACTATCACAGGGAGAATCCATAAACTGACTTACAACACTCACCGGAAAAGAAATGTCAGGTCTAGTCACTGTGAGGTAATTCAATTTGCCAACCAACCTCCTATATCTCGTAGGGTCTCTAAGAGGCTCCCCCTGTCCAGGCAGAAGCTTAGCATTCGG